TTAGTACTGCAAAAAACAAAAAATAACTGAATAAGTAAAAATAATAAATATTCCACCTTCCAAGAAAAAAAAAGCCTAACTTGTGCCCAGGATCAACCTTAGGCAAACTGAAGCAGTAAAGCTTCTTGGATATTCATAGATGAATATTTTAAACCTGTTTTTATTTCATTTTTTTATTCTAAATTTCATAATTAGGTTATTGTAAAATATGAATTCTTTGAAATTGTGAGCAAAATTTCAGGTATATGTACACTTTCATGAGGTGGAACTGTTCCTTTGTTCAGAGACCCAAAGAAGGCTAAGAACCACTGTAGTCTCTTCTACCTTTCTCTGACCAGATGCCCCCTGGATAGCCCCTAGCTCTGCTAGCTCTTTTCCACCTTTGGTTGACCATATCTGTTTTCTGTGCAGACTCCCAAGTTGAGAACTTCCCTTCCAGTGTCCTCCCCCCTCTGTCTAGACTTGTCTTCTGTTTGACATTGTGTGGGATTCCAGTTGCTCTGCTGTCTGATGAATAAATGTCAAAATTAGAGATGTGGTGGCCCATGCCTGTAAGCTCAGCTACTCTGGAGACTGAGGCAGACAATTGCAAGTTAAAGGCCAGCCTGGGCAATTCAGTCCAAAATAAAATAAAATTTAAGACTAAAAAAAGTGGGGTTAGGGATGAAACTCAGTGGTAAGAGTGTTTTATAGCCTATGAAAGGCTCTGGGTTCAGTGTCTAATATCACAAAAATAAAAAACTAGAGATGATAACCTTCTAAGACAGGGTAACTCAGCCAGATTCTCTGGCTCAGAATACAGAAGTGGGCGAAGAGTCTGTTTTTCCTTCATGTAACATTTCTATTTGAAGAGATGCTTTGAGGAGGGCAGCCTTGAGTATCTCAATGCAGGTGTCTGAGCAATTTAAACAGATATGTTTGGGGAGGAGGCACACGGGGGCCTTTATGGCAGGAAGTTCACATATTGTCTTATTTATGCTCCCTTGGGAGTGAGACCAGTTTGGAAGTTGTTTCTTGAGGTCTATTCATTTGCTCGAGATGAGACCACCCTGCACGAGTGATGCACAAGGTATGGAACCTTGATTTCCTTCCTTTAAAGCTGTACAGCTGCTTGGGGGTTATTGCCACTCTCCTGGAGATCTTCTAGTCCCACCACCTAGGAAGTTGTCCATGAAGAGCCAGCCACACAGTCTGCAAGTGGGAATTATACTAGAGTGAAAGTGGAAAACTATCAAAATCTTTCAATACACTTAGGAAAGTTACTGTTTAGAGTACAAAAATATCACAAGTTTGCAAGTCTGAGACAGAGAGAGAGAGGGAGGGAGGGAGGGGGAGGGCCAGGGCAGGATGGGGTGTAGAGAGGAAAGGGAGGGAGGAAAGCAGAGGAGAGAGAGAGAGAGAGAGAGAGAGAGAGAGAGAGAGAGAGATCAGCTGATATGGAACAGCAGCAATCAGACCACGTTTGCAGCTGGACAGTTGTAGTAGCCCCTTGAGATATGTGACCATCAACCATGAATGCAGATACTTCCAAAGTCTTGTTTTTCTTTTATGTGAAAGTTGCCAGCATGGAACAGATGCCTTTATTTGGAGAAACCAGTCTTTGGAAATAATTGGTTCTCTCTTCTTTTTTTTTTTCCCTAGAGATGGTATTTCACAGATGAATTTAGATGAGGGGAAAAAAAATAAATCACCATAGATTCATTCAAAGTATTTTTTTGTCACTCCAAAATGTTTTAGGAGGTATAGATTAATTGTTCATATTTTGATTTTGTTGACTGGTCATAGGTATTTTATTTCTGTTTGTTATTAGTATAGTAGTGACTTTCAGAAAGGAAAAAAAAATGATTGTGGTAGGTCATTTTTGAGTAATGACCTGTGCTTTTACTTTAATGCATTGATCCATAATGTCAAAGGAAGTACTGCCACCTTCCTAGTTTCAAATAATAGGGGATGAGCATAATGGATAAAGTAATACTTACACTAGGAGCAGTGAGGCAGTTTGCAAGTATTATGTCTTATCTTCATATCATCCTAGCAAGTTAAGTATTATTATCCTACTTTAGAGATGAAATCTGAAGCTTAGAGAGGGTAAGTGACTTGTCCAAGGTCAAATAGCTGACAGGTGAGTGTTGGAGCTGAGATTCTAGTCCAGCCAGAGCATGTATGCATGCAGTGGGCTTCTAAGTGGTCAGTGTATGCAGAACATACTCATTTTACAACATTTTATTTCTTGAAATATAAGTTATAGCTGTAACAAAGGAGCTATTTTAAGGGCTTTCTATCACTGAAAATTGTCTGGTTTGTTAACTCATATATTGTATTGTTGATGTGGCTAAAATCACCTGTCTTTGGGTTAATATGCTCTTTAAAACGATTGTAGGATTTTGAAATGATTCCTTATCACGGTAAGTGAAAGGGGCTTGAATAAAGACAGATGATATTTAGTGATTATTTATCTCCTCATTCACTCAGCCAGTATTGAGTGAATGCATGCATGCCAGGTACTGTGTTAGGCACTGGGTATGTGCATTGAATACACATGGCTGTGCCCAGTCACTCTAGCTATGGGACAAGTATAGTGTAGGGTCTGAGACATGAAGAGAATAAGATGGGGTCCCCTTCCTACAATGGCTGACAAACTCAATTGAGAGAGAAGTCTGGGCGTAAAAATTGCTAGAATGTGTTTCTACCTTGTGTGGAATGATGCTGCAGTCCTCCCTCCCTTGTAGTATCCTGCTGCTCAGTGTGGGAGGAAAGGCTGGCCCAATATAGAGCCAAAGTGCTATGACAGTTTAAAGAAGAGAAAAAGATCATGGGCTCTACAAATGATCAGGGAAAGATTTGTGAAAGTCATGGGAATTGAATTGGGCCATTATGGCATTTCATTAGGTGGGATTCATTTGTTTCTCCTTATTTGCACTATTATGTGCCAAGTGCAGTTCTCAAGAGAGAGGATGAAGTTGTGAGCTGATAGGACCACTGCTTCCATAGAGGTTACCGCTTGGGAGAGGAGGGAGACAGATAATAAAGAAGCAATGAGATTTTTCCATATAGTGTTAAATACAGTGAAGACCCTAAGAAACAATGTTGGAATAATTGGGGGTGGTGATGATGAGACTATTTCAGATGATTGGGAAAATCGTCTCTGAGGAAGAGACTCTTGAAGTCTGAGTATTGAGAAGGAGGGGGCCATGCACCTGTCTATGGGTAGAGCCCTGAGTTCCATAAATGAAGCCTTTAGGATGGAATGACACAATGTCTCTGGGAGTTTATCTAGCAAAGAACTGTACTCGAGGGCATGGTTGGAGTGCAGGCTGAAGACTCTAGGAGAGGACCACATCATGGAGGGTTTTAAATATCATAAATGGGCAAGAATAAGCCCTGTGTGCATGTATCCAGGAGATGATTAGTTAGAGGCAAGAAGAATCCAGATATGTATGTCATGGAAACTTGTGAAACTGAGATACTGACATTTGGTGCACAGGACCCATGAGGAGGGAGCCCCCGACCCCTCATGTACCAGTTACTTGCTGGTGGAAAGTTGGGTACAGTCTGTAGTCCTGAAATGAGGTGTAGGTGGTACTCTGTCAACTAACTACTACTCCAGATGGGGGGAGGGGCATACAAGAGAATTGCCTACAAAGGAATCATGAAGCTGTGAGAAAGGTAAGCTCTAACCCAGTGCCGAGGACTATAATCAACAAAGAAGCATTTTCTAAGTCACATAGGATAAAAGAGGTTCCTTTTGTGGCAGTGCCCCTCAGAAGAAAAAACTAATTGTTTCTTTTAGTGTAAACAAATGGTCTTTAGCCATATTTTTTTTTTTTTTTTTTTTGTGAAGGAGAAAAATAAAGGTTTGAGTCCATCCAGGTGGATAGATAAAAGAGGTACATTTAAATGCTCATTTTTGGAATAACTATATATATTTTCACTGAGGGAAAAACTGCCCCAAATGTTGATAGAATCCTCTAGGGTAATGTGTTTAGGTAGTGAAAGGATTCCTGGCAGTGATTGAGAAATATAATAATGGGGAACTGCACTTGATCTCTTTTGAGGTTGATTCTGATGTGTGTAGTCTTTACATCCTATTAAATTTTTGAAAGATAAACTGATACAAGACTGATTTGCCAAGGCCAGCAACTATTCCTTTTAAAACCTTGGCTCAGTGTACACACTGAAGGGATGGGGGAGTAAGATAAAAGCATTATAAATATGAGGTTAACTGAATCCAAATAGAAGGTTCTCTCAAGTTATTGCATTCCTTAGAAAATAAATACATTGCGCATATGGTTAAGATTGATCAAAAAAGTATTCTGTATGCCAGTGATTACATTCCCATCTGTGATTAAGGTTTTCTGTCTGCATCTGGTTTTCACATTATATTTCTGTAACAAGAATCCTTTATACAGCAGAGTTCACTTTCTGTATTTTCTGTTAGCTGCAGCTTGAACTACTGCACAGATCACAGATTTACACATGTGGTTTTCATTACTTCATACCATTGAGAAAAAGTAATATTTGTTTGGGAATGTATGTTTTCCACAATTTCCATGGTAATACAACATGTTGAGCCTTTTTAATAAAACTCTTGTAGAACTACAAATTGAGGCATTCTGCTCTTGGTGAAGCTTAGCTTTTAAACTTTTCTCAGTATATCTTTCTCCCATAATGAAGTTTTACAAACTTGAGACTCGAGGATCTGAACAAAGCAATTATCAAAGATAGAGAAAATTTACTATCATTTGCATATGATGCAAACTTTAGTGTGTGATAGGTATCACAAATACATAAACATATATTTTATGTTGCTCATTACCATCACTCATTTTACTATTATTTCCTGTTGGAAGGGCATTTAATGTGTTGTCTGTCTGAAGCACAACAAGATACCTTGAAGTCCAAAGATTAGCTCTGCTTTTTTGTTATTCTATTGGTTGTGATATAATGTTTCTTATATAAAGTAGTTAAGTGGGGTGGGGGGCGGGGGAAGCTCATGGGTAACTTTAGGTTTGCACTGTATATTGCTTGAATGTATGATTGCATACTGTGTTAACATTTAAAAATTTATAAATTGTACATTTAAAATATTTTGTAACATCTTCCTGCCAACTTCTCTTCATTCAGAACACTCTGGTTAAAATAGATACTATAAACAAAGAAGTGAAAGGGTATATTCTATCATGAGGGATCATTTTTAATTGAGAAATTTGCTTTTTAAAGAGAGTTTACCCACATGGTAATTTTATGTGCCTCCAAACTAAGGTTCACGACACTATTTCTGTTAATAAACTGAAATGCCTGCTAGTTCGTATTCAAGAATAGGAAGAAATAGGCTCTAGGGGATTTATATGTGCTTTGGCTACTTCACTTGATCAGTGGAGATGATTAACTATGATCCATGCATTGGTTAGTCCACTTTTATCAGGCTCTCTGATATCTTTTGTTGATAGTTGCAGAGATACAAAATGGCATCATATATCATGAAATAATATTACTACTACTAATAATAATAATATTGATTTTCTTCTTTTCCCCAATGTTTGTGTAGCCTCAATGTATAAATGCTTTTGTAAACCTTAGTACAGAAATATCCATATTTCCATTTTTCAGAAATACTTGTGTTAATATTGAGCTGTATTTACTTCCAGTCTCCTGTTGTGTGCCCCTCCCCCACCCCTAGTATCTGAGTATACATAATCTATAAGTGTTATATGAATCTGTAACTCTTGGTTATTTTCTAATGGAGACATTTCCTTTATTGTTTGTTAATGACATTGTTAGATTTTATGGTAACTAAATGCTTCCAAGTTGTGACTGACTTTCTTTAATGCTCTTTATTGAGCTTTAACTCCCAACTAGAAAGTGTATAGTATTGTATTTTTTTTTGTTCATCAGTACTTATTTTTTATCATGAAGAACAGGAAACAATTGATTACATCACAGCAGAGCCCTAATGCAGCAGTAAAGGGCATTGATATTTTTTAATAGGATATGCTTGCCTTATATACATTACAGTATGTTTACCAATTCAAATTTCTATTTTTTTCTTACTAATTTAAATTTCTAGAAAGTAATTTGGTTTCAGAAAATAAAAGCACTTTAGTATTACTTTCTGAGATTAATTTTATACATCTGTATTCCTTTGCATTGATTGAGTTCCTGCTTTATGTTCATGTGATATTCTAGACCCATATATTTCATAGATTATAGGAATTACAGATGGCTTTTTGTTCATGTAGTGGTATTCATAGAAGTAGGTGAGTAATAGGAGTCAATGAATGTTTGTAGATTGTGAATGAATGACTTCTCTAAACCTACCAATGTAGTAGGAAAAAATGAGGGAATTTGGATTGCTGTTAGAAGAAGAAAAGAAAGTACAAGTTCATTGATCTAGTAAAATAATTTTATAATTGTTTTAACTAAGACTTTTTAAAGTAATCGATTACATAAAGATTCTTCTTTACTATTAACAGTTGTTTTAAACTATTTTAATTAATAATGGTAATACTGAAATTTCAGAACAATGAAACAGTGTGGCTACCACGTTGTTTTGAAACAGGATTTAAAAACTTATAAAATTTTATAAGATAAAATAAAACTTAACAATGTCCAAAGAATTTCCCAAAAAAGAAAATGACAGATACTTATTTATTTTTGTTGAAACAGGTAAAAATCTAACATATTCTCTGAAGGTTTTTGATGAACCTATACTTTAAAACCAATCTAAGAAGACTTCTTAAGTTCAGAATGGATCCAGCTTTGAGTCAGATGATCGCAAAGTTCAGAGTCCTTGATAGCATCTTCATAGGAACTGAGAAAATGGGGATTGTTTTGACTTCTAAAATTTAGAAGAGCTTGTATCTGCTTCTGAAATAAAAACAAAACAAAACTGGCCTGGTATTATATGAGTAGGTGGGTGTGATACTTCAGACTGGTTGTGATATGTGCATTTTTTTTCCCCTTTGTTGTTGTCAATAGAAAAGATTGATCTCTGGACTGGTGAACATAATCTCTGTCCCAGTCAGAAAAGGAGAGAGGAAATTAGCAGAGCGGTTGGTGGAGAATGATATCTGTCAAAAGAAACACTTGGAGAGCACTGAGTGTAGTAATAGGTGACTGCCGGAGAAAAGGGAACTTTGAATATTGTCAAGGTAAGGAACAGACGAATGTTTTGATTTTGCAATTTACTTACGTACCAGAAAATCGATCTGTAATTTTTTTTCCCAATGAATTATAATTCTGAAGGTTTTTCTCTTTTCCTTATTCTAGTGCCTGTTGATAAAGAATTTAAATTATGTTTTAACTATTTGTGTTTGAACTCTTTGGGGTTGGGGGTGGGGTGGAGACCAATCTGGTAATGGGAACCCTGTTTGATAGCTTTGGGTGCAAAGATATCAAATGATCAAGTACCAAATTTTTTTTTTTCACTCTTTTCTTGTTGTAGTGTTTTTCTTGCCATGTTTCATAATACATCTGTTATAAACTGAGCAATGCTTGGAGTTAAAGAGTAAAAGCTATGCCATGATTTCTGTGTTTATTGTAATGAGGAGATGGTGTTTTCCAAAACAGTTTGTTGACTAAACAGGCAAAAAAGCACTTTTCGGTTTATTATTTCTTCAGATCAATTTGGATTTAACTTTTAGGTGAATTTACTTCCTAAGCAGAATTCATATCTGTAAACAAATTTTAAAAGATGATACTTAACTTCAGGAAAACACAAATATAAAAGAAGTGTATTGCTGTTTGGCAAAAGACTTCTGTAAGTCTGCAACATTTAAAAATTCAGGGATGTTCTGAATTATGGGATCGGGGAGTTAGTGCCTTTTCTAATCAGCCCTGTTCCAGGTTTAGCAAATAGTGGACTTGTGCAGAAGCATCAGTGAATCAGGATAAATTGTGCTAAGATAAAGTCAACACCAATGTCATGTGATACTGGTTGGCACTTAGTGTTTGGGAAGGATTTGAAGTTCTGTGACTGACTGGCTGATGGCCTGACTTCATGAAAAGAGAGGGGTAGCCAAATGTTTGCACTTTGTGACCATTCCTCTGGAACCTCACTGCTGGCATCCAGCCCACAATTCTTAGTCTTTGAAATCCCGACAGATAGTTATTGGCTTGTTCTTAAAGTTCCTGGACACGAGTTGGTAAAATGAAATAATTCCCTGTGGAATTATACAATCTGGGGGAAACTTTAATCATGATTTGTATTCTGTGTCTGTATATCCTTTCATCCCTCCTTCATGTAATGATGATCTTCTGCATAATTTGTGAAAGACATCAGTTCAAAAGAGAAGGGAAGTGATGCAATTAGTTACTTAGTTGAGATATCTCCTACCTTGGTTTCTGTCCTCTTACCTTATGTGTATTGTTACTAAAGTAGTTTTTTGAGAATTCCAGTTTTGGCTCATTAGACAATTGAAATCTTGCACAGAGAAAAAAAAGGTGTCGATATTATATCTTAAATGAAACAACCTAATAACAACCATTCTTGATTTTGAATTGTTTACTTATCTTTATCAGAAGAAAGTAGCTGTTTCAAAACAGAATATTACTTTTTGTCTTTCTTCCTATGTATCTCTATGAAGGTTAATATTATATGATTAAAAATATCTAAATTGCATATTAAAAATCCAAAAGGGTATTGGGCTTTACAATTTGAGGCCATTGTAGATGCACAGATATCAGCTTTACCCACCCCCATCGCATTGTGATCATATTCTCTACTGATCATGTGGCCTGTTTTCAGAGAACCATTGCAAGAAGGAGCTTCCATAGTGAAGGCAAACAAAGACACACATCTTAATCCAACTTAAAGTGTGGTGTTTGTTATAATATGCAAATACTGATCCCCCAGCCACATGCATTAGGAAGACCATGTTGAGTTTCTTCTCATTTTCTTTCCCCTCTCTGTGTGTGTGTACATACTTTAAAAATGATGCATTTAGGCCAACACAAATGTGTCTTTTTATTTTACAACTGTTGAGTTTTCTTTATGTTTTATTTATTTATTTTACATTGCATTACAAAATCTATTTCTAGTTATTTCTGACTCTTTGTAATAGTAATGGGTACTTAGAAGAATGGGGTTCAGAATCAGGTTAACCCAAGAAGTGCGGAAGGACAAAAAAGTCACCTAATTCAAATTTGTAGACACTTGGAATCCATTGGGTTCCTGGAGTAATTTGGAAGCACAAAAAGCAAAGAACTACCAACTGAAAAGTCAATGTTGTGAGTGAGACTAGCCTGAGGAAGCACCAGAGAGTCTGGCCTGTGTGGCAAGTTTTAAGCACTGAGGGGGCATGCCACAGCTTGAGTGGGAGCTGGAAAAGGCAAGATGCTAGCCCATTTGGCCCCTGTGGTTTTGTTCGTTTTGTTGTGGTGCTAGTAACCGGGGCCTCTTTACCACTGAGCCACAACCCAGTCCCTTCTGGTGTTTTAAACCAGACCCCAAATACATAGTGCTCAGTCCTCTAGAATGCACCTTGGAGCTGTTCTCTCATTTTATGTGCCATTTTAAGGGGACTGGATAGGTATGGGACAGTTATAAGCCGTGTCTGGCTTGAGAAATTTGCTCTTATAAAGTTATTAAGAAAATTCTAAGAAAGAATTTTCCAATATTTGCCATATTAAAATACACACACACACACACACACACACACACACACACACACATATATATATATATATATCTCCATTGATTTCCTAAAAGATGCAAGAGGAAAGACCATGAGAGGAAAGAATGGGAGGAAACTAGCTGTAAAGCAGTGTATTTTGTTCATGCATATCACAGGATGGGATATTTAGAAGGACCAATTTTTAAACATTGGATGTGTTTTGAAAGCCACATTTGTAGTACTGAAAAGGGTGATTTTTTAAAATGCTCATTTAGATGATGCTGTTCAGTTTCAAATATGGTATCATTATTAGCAAAAAATAGAAAGTTATTTTCTTAGGTGAAACTGCTGTTTTTAGAGAGTGTCTGCGTTTATTTTTAGGTTTTCTCGGTCATGTTCAAGGGGTCTGATAACATTAATGGGCTTTACCCCACATGGAGCTTTGAGCTTATTGTAGCACTGCACACTGATCCCAGGTCAGTGTGATGCGTGAAATCAATTTATTTGAATCTCTTTGCCTCTATAGGAATTTGGCATCGTGCCAGTTGTTTTCATTTAATGTTCTTTGTGTTGAACACAGACAAGCAGGCATGCTTTTGTATTCTTCTCTCTTTTGGTCTCTGTCTCTTTCAGCTAATGTTTTACTCTATGGATTTTGAAATGAAGGAAGAATATATTATGTATATGATTCTAATCATTGCTTAATATTTGTGAATGTATGTGTATATGTGTGTATGTGTCTGTGTGTGTGTGTGTAGTGTATGCATATGTATCACTTTATTATCTTTTAGAAGATATTTTTGATGTTCCTGGGTTTGGATGGTCACTTTGTACATAAAAATTACTTTAGAGTTTTGTTTAGATAAGATTTTTGATGAAATATCATCAAGCAGATCCTGGGTGGTATTTGCTTACATTAATAACCAGTCTCAAAACTTGAAATCACCATATTAATTAAACAGCACAACAGATGTTTAATTTGTGAACTAGACTATCAAAATCATTTTTGGGAACGATTTTGAATTTGAAGATTCACACTTTAATCAAGCACACATTAAAAACTGATACTGATTTGGGTATTTTCTTTGACTAACCCATCTTCGTTAAGACACTAGTGTTTTACCTAGATGGTTCTATGTGAATTTTTACAAAGTTCCTGACATTAGGGTCATTGTTTTTTTTTTTTTTTTAAATTGGAAAGGTGATGTGTGGGCATAACATGGAGATTTCTATTGCCAGTAGATTCAGACCCTTCTATGGATGTTTTTGTAGGCAGCAGGATTTGTTTCTGTGTCAGCTTTAGGAAGAGGTGGAGAAGGAAACGATAGAGAGCTAAAGGAGAATGTTCTGTTGATGCTCCGGGCAGTTCTTGCGGAAGTTGATATGCAGAACCACGGAGCCTAGGCTTCAGGGTCAAGCTTATACCCAGCAGCCCTGCTTCCTTGTTTAATTACCTGAAGAGCAAAACAGTCAGTCCGGGGGTGTGTGAAACCTCAGTATCTCTGCAGCCGCCTGGCGCTCTGACATCCTGCAAGGCCAGCCCTGTCGTCGGCCAGCGTCAGGCTGGCTCACGCCCCAGGTTCCTTTCTTTTAGGAGGCATTGTGTGAAAGAGGGTTTGGTCAGGAATCTGAGGTTCCTGCCAGTGCTGTGTGCCCTGGTCTATCTCCCCCTCTCTCTCTGGACTGTACTGACAGATATGTTTGATTTTTTTTTTCTCCTTTAAAGAATTAAACATTTAGCTCTTTCATTTTATACTTTTAGCCTTGATATGAAACAGTCTCTTTCAACATCAGTGGAGGATTGACCTGAGTTATTGGGTTCTTATTTTTCTGCTTCCTGTGATATGGTGGCCTATGGCTTATGTGTGTTGTTCTTCTTGGGTCAGACTCACTAGCAGTAGTTCAGTGTGGAACTAGTAGTTCTGGCATTGTTTTTATGAAGCTTTTTTTTTTTTTTTTTTTTTAATCTTTCTGTTTATGTAAACAGAAGAGACCATTTTTAAAGAAAGAAATAAAACTTTTAAGATTGGGTGGTTCCCCCCTCCCCCTTTCCTTGCAATTCAAATAAGGTCTCTGACATTTGTCTGATAAAGGTGAGAAATACTACTGGGAGAGTAATGTGTCCAAATTTGGAGAGCACCCTAGGGTAAATATTCTAAGAAATGCTGGAGATGGAGCCATTTGGGAGATCCCTTCAATTTAACGAGATGTTCTCTTACCAAGAGGAAATCTGGCAGGTTCTTTATCCATACTATGGGCTGATGAAATGTCCTCACTGTGGGTGGGGGAGCAAAGGTGGTGGTGGGGGAAGTTTCCTGAAAAGGGAGAGGAAAGTGTGACTGACTGTGCAGTGATTTGTTTTTTCCAACTACTTCATTGGGATTCTGTCATGCAGTCTGAAGGGCATTTACCCTTTAGATGCACATGTGTGCTTCCCATTAATGTTAATAGGAGTTATAGGCATGTAAGGAGAGCAGTATGTACTTTAGCCTAGTGCAAAAGTATGGCTCCAGGGAATTAATTCCCTACCCCCCACA